GTGCTGATTATAAAAGGGCTGTAATATGATGTGTATATCCTTTTTTGCTAAAAAAATTATCAAGACAAGTTTAATATAAATACAATTGAAAAACTCGCTTATCCAGCTGATAATTAAAAAATGCATAAACTTTTTATTACAGGTTTTAAAAAAAAATTTAGTTTAAATATGTAACTTGTAGTAGAATAAAATGCCACAATCTTAGACTAAGTATGAACAAATCCCTCTGTAAAAACCTCCCAAATACAGAGAGGAATAAAACAGTCAGGTTTGGTGTGTAAGTGCTGCTGAAGTGGAGACTTATGGCTTATGTTGGAATATTTACTCAATTCCAAGCATGTTCAATAAAAAGGTCAGGAGAGTTTTTACATGTTAACACACAAGGTTTTAACATATTAGCAGTTTATTAAATGAATAATTCAATTCACAGAATTCTGGTATCTTTTAATGCAATGCAAAAAATACATTTAGGAGGTGCGTGCAGATTTCATTTTATCATTACCTAATATTAACAGTTGGAGTTAAGTGAAATTCGTCAATTGTTGATCATTCTCTAGTCCTCCATTAGCCGCACCCATACATACGTCCTCTTTTTCTACTAATTCTCTGCACAACATTAAAAAGTACAAGACTTCTCAACCTCAGATTCTGTACCCACAGGAAGTTAATTTTAGACACGCTTCATCTACTTGTGCAAAAATGCTTCATTAGTATGCAAAACATATTACACTCGAGAAGTAGTTCAGGTAATATGTCACCTTTAAGCAATACAAAAACAATTGTTTAATGAAAAGAAAAAGAGACAAAAATATGTTTAAAAAATTCCTTTGTAATTCCTTTTTTCCAACACTCAATGAAGAAAAGAAATCGTATTTTGAGAAAGTAGTCTTTAAACAGGGTCTTAGGCCCAATCCCAATTCTACCCCTTAGCCCTTCCCCTTACCCCTACCCCTCGTTTTGCACGTTCAAGCCAAGGGGTAGGGGTGTCCCAATTCCCTTTAGCTTGAAGGTGTAGGGCTAAGGAGAAGGGATGAATACCCCTTTGAACGAAGATTTTTCAGGACCACACTCGAAAACCAAGGGGTAAGAAAATTTCCCAGAATACACCAGCCACAACGTCAGCATAGCTGCACTTGGAAGTAAAGAGATCCACAAATTAGTATTTTTTGTCATTATAACAAATTTTTACGACAAACAAACACATTTTAATATATTCATAACGGCGTTTATGGTTTACCATCATGCATTAAAAAAAAAAAAAAAAAAAAACGCTAAATTTCTCTATAACTCCTGTACAGCAGTACCACAACATTCTGACACTCGATGATACTGGAATATCCTGTCAGAAAAGTCTAGTGGCTGAGAATGACCTTTTTGCAGTGTCTGCTATAATGTTAATGTTGTTTTCGTGTGTTTACATAGATGAATATGGCCCCAGTGTAAATACAGAGTACACTTACGATCTTATTGCCACATTAGATCGTTATGATGACATAATATATGACTTCAGTGATTTCCTAAAGATAAATACCAAATAATAGCACAACTGGAATAACTACAGCTGTCGCGATCGTCTGATCTCATATGAAGCAAGAGATCGCGATGACGTGTGCAGGTGCTGTAGTGCTCTCCCAATTCTTAGGGGTAAATTTCAAAGCCCTTTCTCTTCACACTTGGTTTACGGACCAAGGGGAAGGGTTAGGGGTAAAATAAATAGAATTGGGATTGGGCCTTTATGTGTTAAATTTCAAAAACTAAATTTTAGGCCTTGAAGTCTTAAATCTACTGACATATTGTGTTATTATGTTGTTGGTCTTTATTCATTTTAAACAGATCTTAATTTTCCTGTCCATGTAAAGCTATACCCTATTGGCCCAACACCCACCCAAAAACTAACAATATATTTCTATAAAGGTTTTAAGAAATGTTTTTATTAACTCTATTTAGTTATTAAAATGATTTAACATTTGTTTTTAATGTTGTTTTAAATTGGCCAATAAACAAATCTTTAGTGTTTTGTCTTGTGTAAGTCTGAAATTTCATTCATTGTGGTCTTAAAGAGTCTTAAATTTGACTTGATGAAGCCTGTAAACCTACCCTGTTTAAGGAGATGTTTTGTAATTGAAATCTACAGATTAACATAAGTTTAATATTCACAATTGGCTGTTATTTTAAACTTTCTTTTTATTAAATTATCCTAAAAATTATGTTTTCTCTTAATATTAAGCAGCACACCTGTCTCCTTAGCACCAAATCAGCATATTGGGAAAATTTCTGAAGAGTCATATAACACTTTCGCTTTTTATTTTTATTTTTGCTTTTTTTAATCACACAACACATTCAGCCTTTGGTTAACAGATGAGACTTCTTCATTTCAAAAACCATTTGTAAAATTAGCAGTATCGTAATCGCAGTACAAGCAAATCATCACCAGGGGAAACAAGCCATTGTCTTTTCCTTACCACTGTTTCCAACACACCTTACATTCAGGATCTCTTTCTTTGTGTGTGTGTGTGTGTGTGTGTGTGCGTGCGTGCGTGTGTGTGTGTAGGGTCCCAGGGCATCTGATCCAATGGGCGGTGTGTTATCTGGGGACCTCTGACTGTGCAGATATCAATGCTGAAGCGGGTTCATGAGCCATTATCTGTTACCTCAAATGCCATGATTTTAGTCTTTTGTTGTTGTACAAAACAGTTTTTTGTTATTGTATTTAAGTTTTGGATGTAATCCAAATAAAAATATATATATTTATGAATTCCCTTGTTCATGGATGCTGCTGTCCTTAGTAAGGGTGTGTAATTGTAATAAATGTCAACGTCCAAATACTGTGACCTGAGTTGCAATTTGTATAATGTAATCACAATTGACTTGCATAACCATGTTTATCTGTTTTAAGCCATGGTATTAATGCTTTTTACTGAAGAGAAAGTTTGATTTGTCACTGAAAAAAGAATGAAGGCAAAATAAAGGTGAGGTGAAATGACTGAATGAATATACACAACATATACTGGTAATGTATAGTGAATCAGTGTGACTAAAAAACATATTGGTTAATTATTTACTTTTATACTTTCTTTGTTCAGATTGATTAAACAACCAATTCGAGTGAAACAGCTGCTGTTTTGTCTTGCAAGTTAAGTTGGTTTTATTTTCATTTCAACAATATACAGTGCAGTCAGTTATGTAAAGAGTACTAAAAGAATCCTACACAAGTAAAAGTACCAGTACCTGCTTAAAAGTGTGGTGCAAGTATCTGTTGTAAATATTACTCAAAGTATGAGTAAAAGTAGACCTTTCAAAAGTACTCAAGTGTAGTGAGAGTTACACTGTGAAAGCTGAGGCATTTACATGTAATTTGTGTAAACGTAACATTCTGTAGTGCATTTAGTTATTGCCCAGCAGGCACACAACGCCATAAGACGTTAATATTAGGTTAGGTTGTGATGTTAGGGGACCAAAATTCAATGTCTAGCCAGCGTCCAAGGACAACGTTATTTTGATGTCCAATAACAAGGTCAAATGATGTTGATATTTGGTTGATTTTAGGTTGTGTTAGAAAGTGACCAGAATCCAACGTTGAGCCAACATCTAAAGCCAATGACAAATTGACGTCAAATATTGACGTCGTCAGGTATGGCAACCAAACTTCAACATCTGATAGACGTCATAGTAATAACGTAGTACAATAAACATCGTCGTCATCTCATAAGTGACATGCATCTAAAAGTCTCTGGGTCAATGCGTGTAAAGATTTTGGACATCTTCTTGGACACTTTTAATGTTTCCAAACAGTTTGCTGCAATTATAATTATAAAGCGCTCATGTCTTGAGGTAGTTCATTGTGATGTGATTTGCCTTCTATGTGCAATTTGATTGGACAGGAATCGCAAGACTGATTTTTTCAAGTTTTTCTAATCCCCTTAGGCAAGGAAAAAATGAAGTCGTGGAGTAAAAGTGCCAATGCTGCACTAAAAATGTACTCAAGGGAAAGTAAAAGTACACATTATTAAAACTACTTAGTTAATTAAAATTCCTGAGAAAAACTGCTCAATTACAGTAGTTTGAGTGTTTGTAATTTTTTACTTTACACCACTGAGTGCAGTACACAGTGAAACAAAAAAATGTTCCTACAAAGGTGCTACATCAAACAACATAAATTGACAACATAACACAGGACTACACGCTAAAAATTTAAAAGAATAAAATAAGAATAAGAGCGCAGAGTGCGGTTTGTACAACATTTAGTGCAAACAAAACAGGACCGACAAGAAACAGTAATGCTAACCAGTACACTACGGATGTTTTGCAAATATTGGATTAAACATAAATACTGTACAGGTAAACATTTGTCACTGAGGTAGAAATGCTGTACAGACAAGTGTAAAAATAGCAGTTGTGCAAATATTTCTGTAGTTGTCTTAAGTTTTGCGTGTGTGTGTGTTTGTGTCTATCCAATTTCTCATGTTGAGAAGTCTGATGGCTTGTAAAAAAAAAAAAAAAAAACTGTTCACAGTCTGGATGTGAGAGCCTGAATAATAAAGTCTAATATTATTAGGATAATGAAGTCAACATAACCACAAAGTTATTTATTTATGGTCATAAACGCAGCAAATAAGCGTAAAAGATTTATATGAATGGATGATCTTTAAAATAAAAAATCTGAAAAATGTCTAATATGTTTGTGTGTGTGTGTGTGTGTATACGATTTAGTATATTGACTAATATTCAAAATATTAATTTACATTTATAATTTATATTTACAATTAATTTTTGCTTAAAACAAACAAAATAAACAATAAGAAGTGTAAATGAATGAATACAGTACTATAATCATCAGGCAAAGTTGTAATGTAACTTAACTAAAAGAACAATTTCAGATAATTGAATTTAGACTCATTAATAACAGTTTTGTTCACGGTATAAATAAAATTTGAGAAACTGTTCCTCAGCTCACCTGCAGGAGCAGTGACGATCCGACGCGCCTCCGACTGAAACCAAACGAAGAAGAGCAAAAGGAAAAGAAAACAAAAGTCCCCCTGGGTTTATTTCCCTCATGGTCCTGTCATGCCAGCTAAAAAGCGACAAAATGATTCAGAAACAGGCAAAAAGAACAAAAAAGAGAAAAGAGGTGAGCTCGCGGCGATAAACGCGGACTTGAAGGAAGACTCTGTCCTGAAGAGTATGAGAGACGCCTGGCAGAAGAAACGGAGCTTCTCTAATGGTATGTGTGTGTTCATTTGCTCACCCATGTGACACAGAGTTTACATTACTTCAGCTGGCTTCAGCATAGTTCCTGGCTGCATGCAGCTTTCATTTGGTTTATAGACATAAAGCAGAGTGGTTTGAGTGTTTGTCAGAACAGTAAACTCTTCCTGTTTTCTGTCCAGGTTGTGTCCAACTGGATTGTGAGCCCTTTCCTCACTGTCAGATCACAGACTTCCTGCAGAGTCCGAGTTTTGTGGAGGGTCTGCAAGCTGAGCTCCTGCAGCTGAACTTCAACAGCAAGTCCAATGATTTGTACAAGTTTCAACAGGTATGAGTGTGAATTATACAGCAGTCAAAATTATTTAACCGCCTTGACCTGAAACAAGTAAACTATTATATCACTATTATTAAAATCAAATATTGTATTCTTAATGATATTGTGTGTTTTCTTTCAATTCCTCAAATGGTTTCTGGTAACACAATTCACAGATTTATGAATGATAAATGAGTGCCTCCAGAAACTGTTAGTTTCATCATCTCTGCAAAAATCTCGAGCTATTTTTAATTTTTATTTTTGTATCTGGTTTCCTAGTTTAAATATCTAAAATAGTGCTTCAATCAAGGAGTAAAATGATCTAAAAACACATTTGTTTATCTTAACCTATTAAATTGCATTTTTTTAATGAAATGAAGACTTTTCTAGAAAATGTTTCTTGATTTAAGAATTCTTTTAGATATTTAAACTAGAAAAGCAGACAAAACCTCTAAGTAAGAAAATCAAGTGTTGTTGTTGCCATAGACCATCTGATGTAATAAAACAATCTATATCTTTTATGAGACCTGTTTTGATTAGGCCATATCTTAATTTTGCATCAACACACATGCATGGGCTAAATTTGTCTGTGTATTAATTCAATCTAATGATGTCTCTAGAAATTTTCCAAAGGCTTAACACAGTTTGTGTCCTACTATACAAATAAATAATGCGCTACTGCTAAATAGGGGTTGAATAATTATAACAAGCTTTAGTTTTTTCCTAAAATAGGCAAAATAATCTGCCAGTGGGGTAAGTATAAAAATCTTATTTCAACCCAGAAACAAGATTATTTTATTTACCAACAGACCAATTATTTTGCTGGATTTAAGGAAAATCTCACTTAATTTTGACTTTTTTAATGAAAAAAATTGTATTTTATAATAATTTTTAATTATGATTTATGAATGATAAATGAGTTCATCCAGAAACTGTTAGTGTAATCCTATCTGGAAAAAAGGAATAAAAAAATCTTAAAAGGTTTTGTCTTGTTTCTAGTCCAAATATCTCTAAATTCTTGTTTTTAGTTTAAAAGTCAAAATTAAGCGAGATTCTTTTTAAAACAAGCAACACAATCTATCAGTGAGGTAAGCAAATTTATCTAAAAACTTAAATTATTAAATTAGGTTTTTTTTTTTTTATATATAAAATCAAGACTTTTTTTTTTACTTTTGTAGAAAATGCTTCTTGATTTTTAAGCTTTCTTTAAGATAGCAAGACAAAGCCTCTAAGTAAGAAAATCAAGTGTTGTTGTTACTATAGACCATCTAATGTAATAAAACAATCTGGAGCTTTTATGAGACCAGTTTTGACATGCATGGTAGGGCTGTACAATATATCGTTTCAGCATCGATATCACAATGTGCATATTCGCAATATGAATTATAGTTGACGAGGAGCTACAGAATTTTGTTTAGTTACTGTATTCATATAGAATGCATATGATTTATAAAATAAAATAAAAATTTCTCCCTTAGAATTTTTGCCTTGTTTTAAATCCAAATATCTACATTTCAAAGCGAAAACAAGATTGTTTAACTTACCCCACTGGCAAAAAATTTTACCTTTTTTTTATTTAAGGAAAATATTATATTTTCCTTAATTCTGATTTATTTCTTCTGAAAACAAAATAATATTTTTACTTGATTTAAAAACATTTTTTTGCAGTGTGATAATTCAATATATATACACCTTAGTACTGATAGACTTCCCAGAAAAACATCAAATAGAGCTATACAAACTGTCTTGTGAAACTCTTCATATCGCAATATTTATTCCAGAAAAATAAAATAAAATTTCACTATATCAGATTTTACAGCCCTAATGCACGGGCTAAATTTATTTATGCGTCATGTTATCAGTTCAAACTAATGACTTTTCTTTAAAGTTTCCAAAGGCCTAACACAATTTGTGCATTAACCAAATAAATAACTTGCTAAAAGTAAAAACTACATTAAAAAGCAAAAAAATATGTCATTTACATTCTTACGTTATCATTTGCCACTAAATTGTAACAGATGCCGTTAAAAAAGACAAATCGTTTCAGTTTCAGGGGTTGAATAGTTTGTGTTCTGTACACTACAAAAAAGCTTTTGTTACTTGGAGGTTTTGTCTTCTTTCTAGTCCAGATATCTCAAAATTCTTAAACCAAGGAGAGTTTTCTAGACCAGGGGTGCCCAAACCTTTTCTTATCAGGGTCCAAAAAACAGTGGGCCGAAGTTAAATAAAGCAAAGTATTGCATTAAAGTTGCTATGGTAATTACCTGATTTAATAATATTTAAAAATAACTTGAAATATATATATATATATATATATATATATATATATATATATATATATATATATATATATATATATATATATATATATATATATATTGCATTTTTATTATGAACTTTTTAGAATAAAAACAAACAATCCCCTTTAAAACACAATGGTGTTCGATGCTGAATACATTCAATACACTTGATTTGCTCATTGAGGATCTTTACTTTTTTCTTTTTATATGATTCATGCACAACATTCATGCTTTTTTGCAACACAACAAACAAACAAACAAACAAACAAACAAAAGGTTACATTAAAATTAGAAATGATGAGCAATGTTGAAGGCATCGGCCCCAACCTTACATCATTCTCCCGTTCTTCTCAGATGGGATGGCGGGGCAAATCGAAGGTTACCATGGGCCAACTTTGGCCTGCAGGCCCTGATTTGGGCATCTCTGTACTAGACTAATAAATCTATTGTCTTGTTTTTTTCTTAAATCAAAATAATCTGCCAGTGGGGTAAGTATACAAATCGTATTTCAACCCAACATCAAGATTATTTTATTTATCCAACTGACAGATTATTTTGCATGATTTAAGGAAAATGTCACTTAATTTAGATTTTTTTTAATGAAAACAAGACTATAATTTTTACTTGTCTAGAAAATGCTCTTCATTTATTAATCTTTAGACTATAAACAAGACAAAAACTCCACAAAAACTTTTTGCAGCATATGTTTTAAATGAAATGGATGAAAGGTCTGAGTTCTCTTTCTTTTTCTCTTTCTTTTTTCTGCAGTCAGATGATCTGAAAGAAAGAAAAGAGCATCATATCTCACAAATACGGTGCGTCAAAGTTCATTTAAACATCTGCATTTCTGTGATTGTTTGTCTCATAGATGTGTTGTTTGTTTGGATCTCAGGTCAATCATTTTCGGGGAGTTTCGCGTGTGGTTGTCAGAAGTGCTGCAGGTGGATCTGGAGGCGACTGTGGACATATCCTGTGCCAAATATGAGCATACGGGTAAAGCATCTGGAGCAGTCATTCACCGGGGTTTTAGATGACGTGTTTCTCTCAGTGGTTTTCCTGACGTCTCTCTCTTTCTGCTGCTCCTTTCCAGATGTTTTGCTGTGTCATGATGATGAGCTGGAGGGGCGAAGAGTCGCATTTATCCTTTATCTGGTTCCTCCCTGGGAATGTAAAGATGGAGGGACCCTCGACCTGTTCAACACTGACGGTGTGTGTGATAGAAGAGCATCAATTCACCCCTAAATGATAGAACAGCATAAGTTGGTTTTATCCCCCAAATTGTGTTACTCTGTCTACAGTTATGCTTTCAATCCAATCGGCACTAAGTGCATTTTATTGCAAGCAAGATACTCAAACAAGATAGTTGGACATCTTGAGCCTGTACCATGATGGTGGCTGAACAAACTCAGGATTAAAGGATTAGTTTGGAGTTAACACCAACCAATGCTGTCAGGCTTTGTTGGTTCCATGATGCTGTTCATCAACTTTCTCTCTTAACCCTGGCTTTAATCCTGAGTTTGTGAGTGAGTGTAGATAAAGGTACCATAACCAGTAGAAAACAGCCAATCACATGCCTTGAAACAAAGATACTGTGACTGACTTCTCAAAAGAGACTCAACAATTTGCAGACAAAGAGAAAGGTTTAAAAACAAGAATAATTTGAAAACATTTGCACAGCTAATTGAAAACAGCTGTGTATGATAGAGGAGAGCTATAAGAAAAAGCTTGCTTTTTGTGCAAGTGAAGATGTGAAATTTGTAATGTTGAGTACTGTTTAGATATACAGAGACTCAGATTCTGAGCTCATATGTTCATCTTTTATCTTCATCTTTTATCTATCGTTTTAAAATAGCTTTGAATTGCAGTTTTGTATATACAATTGGAGTCCGAATTGTTCACCCTACTGTTACATTTTAATTCTTTTATATATTGTCCTCAAGTTCTATTTAACAGAGAGAAGATTTTTTTTTCAATACATTTCTAAACATAATAGTTTTAATAACTGATTTCTAATAACTGATTTTAGTACCTTTGCCATGATGACAGTAAGTGTGGCTTATTTCTAAACTAATTTCAAGATAAGCACGTGCTTATGATTGATCACGGCTGGTCCTTCATCAGCTAACACAAGATGCACCAATCAGATGATTCCTAACTCACTATAAATAATCATAATTCTCACCCCAGTTATCTTCATCTTAAAGAATCCCACCTTCTACCCCTACTCCTCCTGTCTTTTTCCTAGACAGGGCAGCACAGCACCCCAGTGGTTAGCACTGTTGCCTCACAGCAAGAATGTCACTGGTTCAAGTCCTTACCTGGCCAGTCGATGTTTCTGTGCAGAGTTTGCATAGCAAGCAGGGGAGTTCTCGAGACCTACCTGAGCTCAAAGTCCCCTATCGCCCTTCAAACAAGAGGGAGCCCCGGCCTCGAGGATCTTCTGAGCTCAGGGCTCTTAAGATACTAGTGTTCAGCTTAAAGTGTAATTTGAAGGCTTAACTAAATTAATTAGGTAAGTTATGGTCATTAGGCAAGTCATTGTATAACAGTGGTTTGTTCTGTAGGCAATTGAAAAGCAAAATTGCTGAAGGGGGCTAATAATATTGACCCTGAATAGTTTTTAAAAGGAACTGCTTTTAGTCCAGCCTAAATAAAACAAATAAGACTTTCTCCAGAAGAAAAAATATTATTGGAAATAATGTGAAAATTATCCTTTATTTATATATATATATATATATATATATATATATATATATATATATATATATACACACACACACACACACACACACACACACACACACACACACACACACACACGTCACTTGAGAAATATTAAAAACAGAATAAATATTGCACAGGAGGGCTAATAATTTTGCTCTCAGCTGTATGTATGTATGGTGTATGTCTGTAAATTGTAGTTGGATATAGTTGAGCTTAAATCGTCTAAAATAATTATAATAAATAATCCTCATTCAAATCAGACTTTTTTTTTTTATCTTTAAAAGTGTTTTACTGAATGATGACCTTTAATTTTGAGCAAGAGAAACCAGAGCAGTGGCTTTATTGCATCATATATTTTTCACTTTGCTCACAGCTGATCGGTTGAAACGAAGTTTGCTTTTTCTAACTCGGAACATAACCTGTCTCGGAGCACATTACCTGTGTTGTATATAATCAGCTATCACAAAGTGATCTAAAACCAACTATTGGTGCCAACTAAACTAAGCTTTACTAGCCATCCCGCTAATCTGGTTCCATTCTACTGGCCCCAGCTTACCTTTGTAGTAATATTTACTGAAGAATTGTGCACGGCGATCACTTTTATCTGTTTCTTTTAGTAGTTGAATCTTTGTACTTCTGTATGTTTCACAGAACATTGTCAGCCAATGAGTGTTGTCAAGTCTCTGCTTCCTTGCTGCAACAGTCTGGTGTTTTTTGAAGTCTCTCCTGTCTCCTTCCATCAGGTAATCAGAAGCTGTCGTCTTTTAAACAAGTATCTTTAGTACTTTTATGCTATTAACATTCATTTATTTTTATTTATTTTTTATTTTTTTTTATTTTAGTTTAAATGTAGGTTTGTTATTTTTATTATTATTATGGTTATTGTTTTGTTTTTTTATTATTGTTTTTTGTGTAAATTTTCAACCTATTTAACAAGTTATTTTGTTCATTTTTATTTATTGTAAATTCTTTTTGATACACTCTTTACTTTGAAATATTAAAACAGAATTTATTAATTTAAATCTAACATTTATTATTTTAAATGTTTATATATATATATATCAATTATTTGTATTTTAAATTTATTAGATTTTAATTCTATGAAATTGAACTTATTTGATTTTTTATTTTACTTTTTTGTATTAAATTTTTTGTATAAAAATTGTGATAAATTTATTCGATTTTAAATTTATAAGATTACATTTTTTTGTATAATTTTTCTAACTACCCCCTTTGTACTAATATGTTTTGTTTATAAAGATTTAATGTATGGGCGGCATGGTGTCTCAGTAGTTAGCACTGTTGTTTCACAGCAAGAACAGGATGTCTGCGGGGTCTTAAAGTATTAAAAGTTGGTAAATCAATTTAGAGATAATTAAGGCCTTTAAAATGTATTAAAATGTCCAAAATGCTTGTTTACTTTGTATAAAATTTTGTATGGATTTTGAAATGTATGCTAAAGTTTGCCTGGATTTTTTTTGTAGTTTAGGAAACTGATCAAATCCTGCTAGATTTGACTTCATGCTGGTTTGTTTACTGCAGTAACCAAGGCAACACTGTGCGCCCCCTGCTGGATTAGCATATTTATTCATTGTATGTCGCGGCTGGGCCAGTTGCCGTTTCTGTGTGAAGTTTGCATGTTCTCCCTGTAATGGCGTGGATTTCCTCCGGTGCTCCGGTTTCCCCCACAGACCAAAGACATGCGCTATAGGTAAATTGGATAAACTAAATTGACATTAGTGTATGTGTGTGAATGAGTGTGTTTGGGTGTTTCCCAATACTGGGTTGCGACTGTTTGGGCATCCGCTGCATAAAATATATGCTAGAATAGTTGGTGGTTCATTTCGATGTGGCGAGCTCTGAAATAGAGACTAAGCTAAAAATTAAAATTCTTGTTGTTTTTAGTATGATTATTTGCAAGTATTTACATGCGTGGGAATGATCTGACCTGTGAGCTTGACCTAGGTGGCGGAGGTGCTTTCAGAGGAGAAGTGTCGTTTATCTCTGAGCGGCTGGTTTCATGGCCCTTCCTTACCAAGACCCTCACGCTACATTGAGCCCTCAGCTCCCCGACACGCTCACATCCCCAGAGACGTAAGTCAACTTGGCCTGACAGCACATTTTTTAGTGTGTGTCATGACCAAATGGCCATAACCTGACCTGCGTATTTATGTGTTTTATACAGGAGACTTTGCTTTTCGAATGGGTGAACGAGATGTACCTGGATCCTCGCTATCAGGCGCGGGTACAACAGGAATTCGAGGACAGTTCAGAGATTTGCTTGCCTAGTTTCTTACAGGTTAGTCATCATTATTATCTTTTACACTGTGCTTAATGTACACACAGTAGTATACCAACAATGTGCATTTTTGCATGTTGTTATAAAGCGCAGGGTCACAATTGGAAGGATTTGTACTTGGATAAAATAAACTCTGCCAGAAGAGGCTTTTTCTGTCTGCGCTGTTGTGGAGCTTCATCTATAATTGATGCAAAGGAGAAATTCCTGTAGATGTGAAATTTAGTGACATGTCCCATGCCCACAGTAGAGGCATGTAGTCCGGGTATGTGGTAAATAATTAATTGTCCAAGTTATTTATTTATCATTTTTGCGCATAAAAGAGTCACGTTTGCTGACTTCACATGCAAGAATATGCTGTTGTCTTGCTGTATGATCAATAACATGACATAAGAATTACAGTCAATATGCTGAAACACTTTTTATTTATGCATTTATGTGTTCTGTTAAATACTATTTTTATTCTGAATATTTGATTTACTTGCAGTGCTCAGCATATATGAGTACGCCCCTCACAAATCTCTCATTTAAATGAATATTTTCTATAGGATGCAAAATAACTCACAATAAGAGTTCAAAAATCTGTAATATAATATTAAATAACATTATCAAAAATAGCAAACATCAAGAGAAGCAAAATAAATACAAAATATAGTTGAATTGTTGTAGTTTGTAATTTGTTTTTTGCAATGTTTTGTATGACTTTAAATGCATTATCTTTCCATTTCTAAAGATGTTCTGTGACTAAACTATTATTTTAATAAATATATCTGTTTAATAAATCTGTTTTGTTCAAATGCACCAATATGTATGATCCATATTCACTGACAAATGGATACAAATATTTATTTTCAAAATGAGGTGTACTCAGCTATGCCGAGCACTGTATGACACTCACTCAAATGTCTTTCAGTGAAACAGATTGTCAAAGTACCTTCATATATATTTATATTTATTTATTTTATATATATATATATATATATATATATATATATATATATATATATATATATATATATATATATATATATATATATATATATATATATATATATTTATTTATTTATTTATTTATTTAATATTATTATTATTATTCGCCAGCAAAGTAATTTTTTGTCATTTTTAAAGTACCTGTTATGCTGAATTTCAACTAAACATTACATCATCATATTTAGAGTTTTTTGGAAACAACAGACACTTGAATTTAATGTACTTTCTATGTATATAAGTCACTTATCTTTCAATTAAAGGAAGTAATAACAATGTATCTGCTGCGATTTAATGATTAATTGCATACAAAATAAAAGTTTGTATTTACATGTTTTTGAATATTGTATGCGGCACGGTGGTGCAGTGGGTATCGCTGTCACCTCGCAGCAAGAAAGTCGCTGGTTCAAGTCTCGGCTGGGTCTAGTTGGCATTTCTGTGTGGAGTTTGCATGTTCTCTCTGCATTCACCTAGGTTTTCTCCAGGTGCTAAGGTGTCCCCCACAGTCCAAAGACATGGAAGGAAAATTAATGAATGTATATTGTGTAAATACACACATCCATATATATATATTAAGTTTTTTTTTTAGTCCCCAAACATATTTAGAAATGGAAAAATAATACAATTAAATTCAAGCAAAATATTGCAAAAAAAAATAAAAAAAATACTTTTTACAAAATTTCAACAAATGAAACATTTTTTGCCATATAAATATATAACATATAAATTTGGATGTACTAGTTTTTGGACTGTCATTGTAAGTTATTTTGTTAGATAAGCTCCAGGTTTGGCTTCAGTACAAACTAATAATAATTTAATAATAATAATTAATAATTTAAGTGCAAAAATATAATATTGTATAGCTTCCTATTAAAAATATGAATTTAAAAGAGAGATTTGTGAGGAGTGTACAAGCTTTTTTTGTGTATAAGGTGAGCGCTGTGTATATTTCTTTAGTATATACATGTATATGTGTGCATTTATACTTTACATGCATAGTATACACGGTATATGTGCATATTTAGTTGCAATTTATCATTAAATGTCACCAGTTTAAACTTGACTAACCACAGGTACGCATTCAGATCTTTATTTAGGCAACAGGGATTTAGTGAGTGATTGAATCTGAAACAAAATATTTTTTAAAAGTGTTCCACTAAAGAAGTTATATCAGCAATTCTGTTTCATTTCAAATTTTATCTTAGTACTTTCTACTGAGTGTATAAATTAGAGGATTTTAAATTGGCCATTATTTACCCATACATAAATTGTCTTGAATCTAGATTAATAATGCTGGAAATAGCGTGCCTATTGCATTAATTAATGTTAGTTCAACCTTATTGTAAAGTGTATTTGTATAAACCTCAAAAATCCACAGTTACACTGCTGATATCCTGCATTGTGTCTTTTTGCTGTCAGGAGGAGAAACTGAGGCAGGTGCGCAGCGCACTGCAGTCCTCTGAGATCCAGTGGGAGAAGAGAGGGCCGCCAAATAAGAGGTCAGATCCGAACATCTGTCATGTGGTTTGATCATTTTCAGCTGTTAATCTCTTCCTGCACTTGCATGTTTTTCCTCATTCTGTTAATTGTCATCTGATTTGTTTATGCTCTGGTGTGTTAAAGATTATCATTGTGTTTAGGTGTTATAGCTGTGCAGATCTGCAGAGCATCCCGTCTTGTGTTCAGGAGTGCTGGGAACTCCTCTCGTCTGAGGCATTCTTCATCCTCTTATCTAACCTGACCGGCCTCAGTCTGCACTATCTGTGCACCAACGAGGATGACGGCGAGAATGAAGAGGGAAAGAGCGAGACGGAGAATAGAGACACAGAGGGAGATGCTCAAGCTGGGGGCTCCAGCACTGAAGCTGATGCTTCCTCACGTGAGAACAAGAAAGACAAAGGTGAGTACATGTGTGTATGGGTGGTGTGCTTTCAGATCAGTTCTTACATTTACAATCATTAAATTTGAATTCTTGCAGGACCTCCTAGTTGTGTTGGAGAAGTGCGTCGCTGGGCGCATGGGGACTATACACTGCTGCATGACTCCGTCAAAAGAGAGTATGCATTAGATCTGCAGCTCCACATGGGCTGTGCGGGTATGTCATTTGAAATTGATGTTACTGAATTAGGGCTTTTGCACAGGAGAACCTTTTTTTTTTTGGTTCCTAGAACTATACGCTTGTTAAGTCGTGATGTATGGAATACTGTTTCTGGGTCAAGGACGCTACTCATTTGAATTGAGAAAATATTTGTTTAGGACCATTTTTTTAGTCACACATTCTATATAAAATATGAATTCTATATAAAATCAGGCAGTACACATCAGTCTCTGGACTTGCTGCATCACAGACATCAATATTTTAACAATTTATACAAAATTCACTTTCTGGCCATTGGATATTAGGCATTGTGTATATATATATATTGCGATTGTGAGTTCCGAAAGTATTACATCACTTTGTAAATGTTTATGATTACTATTTGTAGAGTCTCCCCATACAGTTTGAAATGGCTCTTGGACCCGGAAGGCCATTCGCGTGACGTTGCACTTAACAAGCTGATTGGTGGAAGAACCGCCACAAATAGTTTTATAGAAGGCACTCCATTTTGGGGAGCTATATTAGCTTCTACTTATGAACAGGGTCTAAGCCAGCACAATAGGAACTACAGTGATGTAAGTGTGCACTGATATAGAACACTGGTACAAGCTAATATTTGTGCCGTTAACCTGATGCCCAAAGCACCTAAATCATCATAGGTAATTTAGTCTTCCTTTCTACTCTTTCAATCACATACCTTATAGATATTCCCATTATCGTGGAATATGCGATGGAAACACAGCTTTGAACACAGAATCTTCCAATTGTTGATTTTGTTGATTGCTGCAGTTAAAGTGATGTTTCACTCAAATATGAAAATTCTGCCATCATTTACTCACCCTTGACTTGTTTCAAACCAGTTTGAGGTTGTTGTTTTTTAAATATGTATTTTAAAAAAACATTGGAAACCAGTAACACTGACCAGTACTTAGTTTTACTAATATGGATGTCAATAGTTACCGCTTTGTCACAAGGCTTAGCAAATGTGATTTATGCTACTATCTGGTTCCTTCTGTAGTCACGGTGTGAATGCAACCAAGAAAATTATCCTAGGGAATAAATTCTCGGGGGCACTGGGTCTAGTGGCTAGTTCCTATGACTTTAATTACCCAGTGAGTTCCTGTAACTAAAGCCCCCAAGGTCTCTGTTACACTTTATTCGAATGTTACCTTTTAAACATCCTGTTGCCAATGTATAATAACTCTCAGCATAGTATTAGTAAACTGTCGTACCATATTTCATGCAGGTTTAAAATAAAATTGTCTATAAAAAGGAAAATTATTTCGGTAACACTTTATTTTGAAGGTCCATTTTGGTATTAGTAGACTGTCTGCTTAATATCTGCTAATACTTCTGCTAAACAGACATGTAACTGACCATAAGAAACTTGGCAAGTACATGTCAACTTGCACTAATCCTAACCCCGACCTATCAGTCTACCTATAATCTAATGAGAATTAGATGGCATGTAGATGCAATATGATTTAAATTTAACAAACAGACCATCAAAATAAAGTGCGACCATTATTTAATAGTAATACAATCTGCTCACAATTTACTGGGTGTAAATGGGGCTTACTTTTAACTTTAGTGAAGCTGGCATACTTTATAAAGCCACTTATAGTCTGTATAATGTCTTTCGGGAGACCATCAAATAAAGCAATGTCAGATATTAAACAGACAGTCATCTAATACCCTGAATTATAAATGAGCAATAAAAGAGTTAGAAATCAGCATGTTCTTCTTCTCTGTCAGGGTGGAAGGCAGAGTTTGGAGGATTTACATCCTATATTGCTCATGATGAAGATGAGGAGGTAGGTGATGATGACACAACATCTTAGTTTGTTTACATTCAGTGATTTATTATATTATGACATTAACAAACAGCAGACCGGTGCACATCATTCCTTCTGTTGACACACTGTGTGTTTTGTGTAGCTCTTGACAGTGTACCCTGAAGATAATTCCCTCGCTCTGGTCTACAGAGACAAAGACACCCTCAAGTTCATCAAACATATCAACAACAGCAGCACCAGCCACACCACAGCCTTTTATGACTTCTCTTTCAACTACTTCGAATCATGAGAGAGAACCAAATTGGCTGACTGGCCATATGCGAGCTTGTGAAAGGAACATGCGTTGACCATACATTTCTGGAACACAGTGAGCTCATTATACACACAAACAAACAAAAACAAGGCACTTTCATTTTTCAATATTTAAGGTGTTCACCTCCAAGCACAAAAATACATTGTCAAATCTGCTCATAATGAAATGTAATCATTTGGTTGTAAAAAAAACACCATCTGTTCTCTTGCAGTATGTCAATAAATGTTAAAGAATGAACACTTCATGACATTATTTCATAGGGTCTACAGCAGAGGTGCCCAACCTGGTTCCTGGAGATCTACCATCCTGCAGAGTTTAGTTGCAACCTTGCTCAGACACACCTGTCTTTAATTACCAAGCACTCCTTTAGATACTACTAAAGCTGCGGTCACACTAGAGTTTGAGTTTGCGAATTCTGTAGCACATTGCTGCGAAAAAGGGGGGGATTAAACAAGATGATTAGACATTTAAAAAAGCCAGCGATTGGTCCATATTTTAAAATTCTGTATAGAGAGATCATGTTTTGATCCTCGATTGGTCTCACGCAGTCAAGTGATACCATTTTGCTCGTGCAAAACTTGCCGCAGGAGCTTGCCTTTCCGGTCTGATGCATTCGCGTGTGTATGATTGGAAGTTTATAGGGAGAAAAGTCCAGTGTGACCGCAGCTTAAGTTGGTTAGTTGTGTTTGAACAGGGTGGCAGTTAAACTCTGCAGGAAGGTGGATCTCCAGGAACAGGGTTGAGCACCCCTGGTCTACAGGTTTTAAATGACAAGATGGTGAGGAACCGATAGGAAAATTGTTATTCTTGGATGGTGCATTCTTCATTCTGAGAAAATTATAAATTAAAAATGAACATTTCTGAATCTCTTAATGTATTATTTGTCTCCTTTTTAAGTCACATGTTCTCCGGTGTTATTTTAAAATAATCCAAAGAGCATCTTGAGCTTAAATGGAAACAAGAACATTCAACTGTCTTTAAAAGGAATTCAACATGAGTGCCACAAATCTACTTATTTGATTAGGCCTGAAAATAGTTCTTAGTTTGAAACGCTTTCAAAACCATAAGCCTTTATTTCCGGTTATAAACAGATTATTAATGTGTTCTCAAACATGTATATCCCAGTGTGCATTGTGTTCACACTGAATAATCAAAAAAAAACTCCCAAATGGTATAATCAAAGCATCTTCACACAGCTGAGTTAATGATGCTCTAAATTCAAGGTGAATACCACATTAAAGCCAGATTAAATTGTCTGCTGTAACCAACTGCAGTCAAAAGTATCAAAGTTTACAGTTACAGTTGTGATTTTAGTGCAAATCTACTTGTGATATCTGAACAGCATTAAAACAGCTTGAGTATAGATGGCATTTCAGTGCCACATTTCCAGTGTACATTTTGAATCAACCAAATAAATAGAGTATAATGGAAAAAATCTATAATAAAATTCAGTCCCGGATTTTAAATCAACTTATTTTGGATTTATGTGCGCACAAACATATTTTCATAGCCCGACAATGTTCTGATTGAGCTATTGAAGACACATTGACTTTTTTGGACCATAACCATTGCTGTCTTTAGATGAAATCAAAAGCTCCCTAATCCTCCACTGTAAAAGATCTTTCAAAAATCAAAAGATTTGTCAATTTGGAATGACATAAATTTGAGTAAATCTTGACAGAAATGCAAATTTTGGGTGAACTAACCTTTTAGGAATCTTCAAAATGTGATGTAAAATGTATATTATGAAAAAAACTTTTTTTATTTAACCATGGATGGCTGTTAAGCTACTGTAGGAGACCTCCAAACCAAACGTGTCAACCTTCAATGTAGCATAATATAGCCACTTTAATTACGTACTGGAAGAGATTTCGACGTTAACCAGACTTCGATGTTGGACAACAAAATGATCTTCAACTCAACAACTAGATCAAATAGTGTCTGACTTGCATTATCAAACCATACGTGGTTGAGATCAGGTTTAGTGAACTTTAGTACAAGTCCAGGGGTGAGGCCCTTTATGTGTTTTGAGTGTGTATCTGCAGAGATTAGGACAGTTTGTGATGAAGGCTGTTATCACTTCTTGCGAGACCACACAATAACAGTGAACCTCCTGGAGCCGGACACACCGCTGTGCTAAGACTATCAGCTCAGAGTTGAGTTCAGGAGACGGGACGGTCTGCAGCTCCAGGACCTCCAGCGTGTCTGCATAACACTGCCCGACTATCCGAACCTCATCCAGAAGAAGCGTCCAGGTGAGCAGCCGAAGACAGCGCACAGGGATGCTGGGCTGCAGAACCCCGGGGACGTGCAGTTCAGGTAGGGTGTGGTCCAGCTCAAGTTCCACACAGAGACGTGGATGTCTCCGCTTTACCTCTAACCATATCTGATCACAAAGAGGCACGGTGTATTTGAGTGAGCGCTCGCAACGCAGCTCCAGTTTCTTGAGCGCTGGCCGCTCGGGCAACATGAGATCTTGGAAGACGTCTTGTGATAGGCTGGCCTGAAAAACTCCAAGAACGTTGAGCGATGGGCAACTCTTCAGCACATGCCTCAGGGTCTCAGATGTGACGCCACACACCAGAGACTGATTGTTAATGTAAAGACTTTTCAGAGCAGGGCACAGCATGGCTACACTCCTGACGAAGGAGTCGCTGAGGGTGAAGGGCACACCCTTCAGGTCAAAAATGGTTAAGGATGACCCATTGGTCAATATGTCCACCAATCCTTGCTGCAGGTCCTGACCAGCATAAAAGAGGGGAGTGTTTGCCACACAACAGATGGAAAGTCCTTCCAGCCGCCCATCACCTCCGGCAACTGCCTGCTGCAGCACCCAAAGTGCAGTTTTGCGATTGGCTGGATCTGTCAGACTTATCCTCAGTTTCAAGTTTCTGACCAGTGGGAGAAGATCAGAATATCTGTCAGGGACACTGGTTCCCGACTCGCACCTAAAAGGGAGATAACATTAGTAAAATGTAGCAAGATTGACACCATTTCTTATTGTCGCTTATTATTTTGTAATTATCCAGATGAGGTCGTATAGCATTGACAATTTTGAGACAATAAATAAGCAGGTTTGTTGTCTCATGTCGCAAATCCAGTGAAGCAGGTAGTGACAATTGCCTCTGACTAGGCCCACACGGAATCTGCACGTGCAGATTTTTATCCCATCATTATTTCTGTTTAGGGCGAGGCAGCGGTGTTGTAGGTAGTGCTGTCGCCTCACAGCAAGAAGGTCGCTGGTTCGAACCTCGGCTCAGTTGGCGTTTCTGTGTGGAGTTTGCATGTTCTCCCTGCCTTTGCGTGGGTTTCCTCCGGGGGCTCCGGTTTCCCCCACAGTCCAAAGACATGCGGTATAGGTGAATTGGGCAGGATAAATTATCATGTGTGTGTGTGTGTGTGAATGTGTGTGATGTTTCCCAGAGCTGGGTTGCGGCAGGAAGGGCATCCACTGCGTAAAAACTTGCTGGATAAGTTGGCGGTTCATTCCACTGTGGCGACCCCGGATTAATAAAGGGACTAAGCTGACAAGAAAATGAATGGCTGCGCCTGAAACCGCATACTTCCATACTATATAGTACGCTAAAATCAGTATGCGAGCCGAGTAGTATGTCCGAATTCATAGAATTCGAAAATCAGTAGGCAAGAAGTACCGAGATGACTTACTACTTCCGGCGAGATTCTGAAGTGCGCATTCCATGCACGCTGCGCTATCCCATAATGCCCCTTGAGAGAAATCATGAATGGAAGTGAGGCGACGCAACTGATGCAGGTAGGTCACGTGACCATGACAAAATGGCGGATGTAGTACGTCCGAATTCCATTCATACTTTTCACATTCATACTGTATAGAACGTACTGTACTTACGGCCGAGTAGTAAATTCAAATGCAGTACCTACTGAGTAGTAGGCGGTTTCGGACACAGCCAATGAATGAATGAATATTTCTGTTTATTTACTTGTGTAGATGTGTGAACATTTATATTTATTAAGTTTTTTAATTAATTTCAGTAATATTGATATTAATGTTAAAATGTTTATATGATTTATTTACAATACTTTACAGTTTGTAAAGTAATATTTTCTTTCTTTTAGTAGAGATATTTGAGAGACTGGCTTTGTTTACCAAATACAGTGGATGTAATTGGATTTGCATTGTAAACAGTTAAAAAGGTATTGCTTTTTAATTTCATATATTAAGCTTTTAGTTCTGATACTCCCAAAATCATTCTGCATAAATCTGCAGATTTTTAACAATATTCTGCACAGAAATAGCAGAAAATATCCGCAGATTCTGTCTAGCCCTACCTCTGACCAATCAGCGTTCTCCATTGTTTACACTTTAAATTTTGTATTGGTACGGCACTTGGACCAACCAAAATGGTACTTCAAAAAAAGACACCCCCAGGCACTACTGACCATCATGGAAAACTACACAGAAAAAGAGGGGCAGTCATTTTAAACTTCCTTTGTCTGCTTCACAAAATAGAATGCAGTTCAGAATAGCAGCAGGGATTCCCCCATGGGGAGGTGCTTAGTGCTTAGGGAAGTTTCCAAGTGAGTGTCTAAAAACAGACCCTCATAATGCTCTGGCACTGTCTGTTCAGATCACACATTCATTAACTCAGTATCTATCACAGTCTGCATGTTCACTGTATTGTACACACCTATATTTTTATGAATCATAAAATATTAAATCATATTTGCCCATCTGAGATTTTGGGATATAAAGGTTATGATTTGGATAATTAAGCAAAATATAGACATGTATTGGTAAATTGTTGGTTGGAGTTTGGACCTATGACATCAAATGAGTGGGATAAAATTAGTCTGACAAGGGTCCTGAAAAGTGGAGCCAAAACATTTGCATTGTTCATGGTTGCTGGCTTCAGAATAAGTTGTGAAGCCTCCCCTACCCATGTTAACTAAATGTATTTTATTTACAGTTAAAATCAATAAAAAAAATAAATTTCATCCTTTTAGGTAGTTTTTATCACAGGTATGTTAAGTTTAAGTGTTTGCATTTTGTTAGCTGAAATAAAAACGGGGTGTTTTGTAAAAATTGTGTGCTCAAGAATTGAATTGGTCTCTTCAATTGGTCTTTAAGAGTTTGGGCAATGGACCCTTTTAACAAGACTGTTATGATGCATTTAACAATGACCATAATCCTAAATTCTTGAAAGTTTTCAATATTTAGATTTTTTTTAAGTCTTATGAATGTATATGGATTTATGTATGTATTATATCAACTTTGGGTCAAATTACAAAAAACGAATTACCGCGCATGCAAGATGTTTCTAATGCAGGGTCTATTGGGCTGAGAGTAAACTTGATATTATTCTCCTGGCTGCCGTCATCAGGCTCATTTTTTTTTCCTTTTTCTGAAAGCCTTTATAACACCATTCTGGAGTTTTTCTTTTATTGTTTAAGCAAATAGGATTGTAAATAAATATATGTTGTACTATTCGATTCACTGTGCTCTGAGTTTACCCAAACATGACGCCTTCCGCTTTTAAGAAACCCGGAAATGTGTAAAGGGTCTATACCTTAATACCACAACCCCATTTCATGGTCACCACTGCACAGACTCTGGCTCCAAATGACAACATCAGCACAAGATGACGGTGGCCTTAGAGTTGGAATTTTGGCTTCACGTTTCAACAGTGGAATAAAGTGGAGAAGCATAGTCCATCTTTTTTATGGTTTATTGCATAATAAACTTTGCGATTAACAGGGCACTTGATAAGAACTCAACCTTTGGTCACAAAAGAAGCCACGGAGAAGAAAAAATGCTTGGCAAATCTCTTTCAATACTTAAACGTTTCTGAATCGTAACAATATTGTAAAGCAAAGTAAACGCTTCAAATTGGAGAATCAAAGTTCTCCAAATCCAGAAATCTCAGATTGTTTCCTCTACAATCGCAACAATGTCTCAAAGTGTGCTTAGATCTGATAAAAGTCTGTAATTAAAAAAACACTCTCAATGTAACTTTATAAAATTTCTCATTAAGTTATCTTTAGAGTTCAGAGTTTCTTTTATTTACAATTATATAGTTATATTGTACTCTGTATAATTATTTTACCTATAATTTTTATTAAAAAATTAAATACTTGGATGCACAATTAATTCATATCTCAAGACAGAAAAGGTAAGATCAGATAAAAAAATGTTCCTCTGAGAGGGTTTCTTTGTATTTCATCATGTAAACAACAGAAACATACAGTTCCTACCTGACTTCAGTATCTTTCCATGAACTTGGATGTGTCATGATATTAGACCAAGCCTTACAAACAATAAATGCATTGCATTTGTCCTGTAAAGGCAGGAAAGAAAAGATATGTGCAAGGATCTCTTCTGGCAGATCCATTCCATTCCAGATCAATCTTCTGTCGACAGCAGTAAGTTAGGTTAAACACAGGATTGAAGCAGGTTATCTGATATAGTAACTGAAAACCTCTTAATCCAGGGCAGTTCGTGGTGACTCTGCTGACTGTAAGTCTGTCAGACTTCAGGAAAAAACATACATACGTTCTCAAACTTCAGCACTTCCTCCTGCGTCACTAGTTCCGTTGTTAAACGCAGCGAAGACAACTAGTTCTGAGCTTTTAACCAATCACAGTAGAATAAGTGAGACTCTTAGCCAATCAGATCCCTGGGTATTGTAGTGGGTGTGTTTTAGTAGCAACCAAGAAAGTGCTTCGACACCTCGAAACTGGAAAGTTTCCTTCTTTCAAGTTTGTAGGCCTGTTTAGACCTCCTTATCATTCAGACAGAGTTCATCATATCGTTGTGTAAGTAACATGTAATATATAACAAAACGCGTCATTCATATTTTCTGTAATGTGATTTAAGGGCAAGCAGAATTGTGTTTTGTTAAACTTTGAGAAGTTCACGTGAGAAGTAACGTAAAATGTATAAAAATAAAAGCTACGAGACTTGTTCGAGCGAGCGATTGTTGTTGTTTTTATCGATTTACCTCTCATAAATATAAAAAAGTTAACGTTTTGAAATGTGAACCATCATATTACCGGTAAACATGTGCATCGCATATCTGTAACAATCACAACTGCCGTCTGACCCCATTTAATAACACTGTCGACCATTAAGCTCACAGCTTTAAAAGGAAGTGGCTACTTGTTGGGAAAACACAGAAATAACGTTTGTTTGTTTGTTTTGTCTAGCCTATTTAACTCTTCCAATAACTTAAATGTCATGATTTATTTGTCTTTGTATTTATCTGCTCATTTGTTTATGTTCACAGGACTTGAGAGAGCATTCTGATCTGAAGATGGACAGTATAGACACAAAGGTACAGTGTTTACATTTTTGTCCCTCCAGATGTTGTTGTTGTATGCAAATTAACAAAGTGTATATGCTTTCATCTTCATTTACAGAGGTTAAATGACAGCAATGCCAGTGACCGTGCGTTGTCAGGGTGTGCTGTGCTTTTCTTGGGATGTAGCAGTCTAGAACACAACTTTTTATCTCTTTACAAAGATGAAAGAGGGAAATTCAGTGTGTTTAAGGTTATTAAACTCACCCTATCAGGTAAGATTTCATAGAAAATATACAGAAAATACAGTTCTTTTCCCACTGCACTTAACGTTAAGTTGTAGCACTGGTTTTAACGCTGCATGTAATATTTCACACTTGGTATATAAAGCAGGGTTAGCACTTTTTTTTACCCTAACCTGATTTCACCAAGTAGGACTGGACATGTTCCTGAATTAACATCAATGATGATCCTGGAACAACATTCCAATCAGCCTATCAAAATAAAGGAATATGTTAACAGTTTAGTGTCAAGTTTAGGCTTATGCACTTTACATGACTGTTATCCAACTATTATTCCCTACTGATTTTGAGTATAATTTACAGTTATGGTTGGGTTTAGGGGTAGGGAATAGCTATGGATTACATTTTTGAACAAAAATTATGTTCCAGGATCAACATAGATGTTAATCCTGGATCACATCGTACTTGGCAAAATCATGACGTTTCCATTTTTTACCCCATTTACATGGACACCTATCATGCGATTTTAATGTGATCAAGACAATACTTTGATTAAGAGTCTACCATATAAACAGTGAATTTTGATTAATTTAATCAGATTAAGGTCATAATCGAACTAAAGAGAAATGAAATTAAGACATGTGGAGTATGCCAATCTTATTGGTATTATTGAAGTGCAGTACAGACATGTCAACACCTTAATTGAACTATTACTGTCATGTAGGACTTTCGCCGCGTTTTGCGACAGAATAGTCCACCCACAAACACACACAGCTGTTTGACACTCTTTGCAACAACCGAGTCAGTGGAGACCACAGACACCTGCATTATGAAATGCAGAGTTTTTTTTTTTCTTCCATTTAGCATGGTATGAACTTCCATTAAAACAACACTCTTCCAGCAGTTCATAGTTGCATCCAATATCTTGTTTGTCACAGGGGCATGCATAAAATGTTCCCAAATGAAAATGAAAGTGCCAAATTGCAGTTTAAGTCGACAAATTAAAAATGAAACACCCGAAATTACATGAAACTCCAGAGGAAATGCAGATAGCATGGTGACGCAATGACGTTAATCGAATTATGGGCTGTAACATGTAAAACGGGATCATAAAAAGGAACATTCAAAAAGCAGCTCATGTAAACGCCTTAATCTTATTATTGTCTTAATTAGATTAAGGTTAATAATTTGAATACTGATGTCCATGTAAACGTAGTCATTAAAAGATTCCGAATGCAAACAGCACACTAGAAATGAACTCTGGACCTTTTATCTGCTCATTGTAATTGGGATAATGAGGAAATAACACACACCTGGCCATGGAACAGCTTAGAAGCCAATTGTCCAATTACTGGACCCTTAACAAGTGGGAGGCACATATGCAAATGGTTTTAATTCCTACAGCATTATTATAGCTCATATTAAAGCTGACAGTATGCAGTTAAAGCACATCTTGTTAGTTTTATTTCAAATCAATTGTGTTGGTGTGTAGAGGCAAAAATGTTAGAATTGTGTCAATGTCCAAATATTTAAAAATTTAACTGTATATTACCTTTAATTTATTATTGCCTAGAAGCGCATAAGCCTGCAAATATTGCTTTATTTAGCTATACATAAATAGTAACTTCAAATATTTAACATTTTTTCCTCAATAGTCTAACAAATGATTCACATTGCTCCCAGATCTTTAGCTTAAACAAGAAACTACACACACCTGGCTTTAAACATACACATTTTATTACATTAAACTTTGTTTTAAATTCAGCCCTCCAAATGACAACTTATAACAATTACCCTGCTCATATTTCTAATAATTACACACCTCTTTTAGCTGTACATTGTTCTTCACGGTCAGTGAGCTGCACTTGTCCAATTCATTATGTCTACAAACACTCTTTCCACAATAAGTGAATAATGCAGTGTTTTTTTGAGGGTTTGGCACCTATGTTTAGTACCACTCCTGAACTGCTAACCCAGCAATGCAGTGCCAAATTATTAAGTTTAAACTAAAGTGTGAAACATTATCATTTACCTTTTTTCAATACCTAGGATTGTTATTCACTGCTAAAGTATGTTCAATGTTAAACATGAAGCAAGATAACCCAGGATTCAGTTTATTGGAATTTGGGATGACCCTTGGGTTGACCATTTCAAAGAATACAGATACTGTAGATTTATCAAAATCAGTGTGTTGCACTTGTACAATTCCCCTGTCTTTGATCCAGATTCTGTTGGTGGACTGGAAGGGTATGAAATCCTGAAACTGCACGATGCTGATCCCTACCTTGGGGTGGAACTGAAATTCATGGCTATGCCTCCCTGTCAGAGGTTCCTGGAGAGCTACGCATGTGGTTCACTCACTCAGTTTCTATCCCAGCATGCCTCACGTCTTCTAGCGCTTCCTGATGGGGTTGAAATAGAAACGCAGCTCAAAGCAGGAGTACATACGTTGGACCACAGCCTTCAGGATATAGAGATCTGCTTGGATCACATTCGCCAATCACAGGTATGTGACAACATTTATGAGTGGCTAATAACACCTCAGATAACAGATATAAATCACATTTTACTACTACTTCAGAGAGGCTGCTATTCTGCTATTTCTGACCTTAAAGTTCATGAGGATTCATAATTAAGCGAAGTTTAGTTTTAAACCCAAGTGTCATTGGTGTAAATGGTGCTGGGAAGTCTGCTGATTTTGATTGAATATTCACAGCTTCAACAAGTGTAACAAATAATAATGTTAATTGGACATGTTCTTTTACATTTGTGACATTGGACCACAAAAGCAATCTTACTTTACACTTGTATGTTTTTGGCAATTTCAAAATTATAGATTTTTTATGGCAATAATCATTAGAATATTGTTGCATTGATAACCTGGTGGACAGCGGGCCAACATATAGCGCTGCAGGCATCCTAAAACAGCAGTCCCGTCCTGACTTGTGTATCTTTCCTGATCCCATCCCAGTCTTTCTCCTGCTTCACTTTCTCTTAATATGCTGAAACGCATGTAATCATGTAAAGATTAACTATATCAAAACTCATTTTCATTCGGCTTAGGGCACAGGTGTCACAGGTGTCAAACACAGTTCCTGGAGGGCCACAACTCTGCTCAGATTTGTTCCAATCCTAATTAAACAAACCTGACTGACCTAATTGGGTCCTTTAGACTTGTTTGAAAATTACAGCTAAAGCTGTGGTCACACTGCACTTTTCACCCAATAGACTTCCATTCATACCCATGCGAATGCGGTAGACTGGAAATGCAAGCTCGTTCAACAAGTTTTGCAGTTTGCTGCGTTGGAGAGTTTAAGCTTTGTGAACTCTGACCTGTCTGACATCACGTGATTGCATGAGACCAATCACAAATCAAAACATGACCTTTCTGGACAGAGATGTAAAATATGGACCAATTGCTCATTTTTTTAAAATGTGAAATCATCTTGTTTAATTGTGCCCCTTTCGGCTGCACCGTACGACAGAATTTCACATGCTCAAACTCTATTGTGGCCGCGACATTAGTGTGTTGAAGCAGGGCTGGAACTAAACTGTGCAGGGCAGCTGCCCTCCGGGAACTGAGTTTGACACCCCATGTTTAGAATCTAATTTGTCAGGGGTTGGAATAGGAGTTGAAATGAAACACCAATTTCTCTGGCACATATATCCGCAAACCAGCACAGAGTTCAAAACTCGTGAATCCTCAGTGCTGGGAAACTCTCATACACTACTCATAACATTTAGTTCATTTAATTCATCTGATCTGCATGTCTTATGTCTGTGGGGAAAACCAGAGTATGAAGATGCAAACTCCACACAGGAATAACACCTGGCCCACCTAGGACTCGAACTAGCAACCTGGCTGTGCTGCAATATTAAATCTTTATTTTTGATAAGTAACATGCACTGCTAAGCCTTTCTTGTAGGGCACTTTCCACCAAAACACTGAAAAAGCCGACACTCTTCTGAAAGGGATCACTCCACACTGAGCGTAAAGTGCACACTGGCTATGCTGTAGGCGTTTAAAAGCACACTTTCAT